TATCGTAGGTAGGAAAGTAAAGTGTCTTGTAATTACAAAATGTAAAACGCAACACAATATTCAAATCATTATACTGGGACTGACCATATCGTGCATTAACTCAAAGACTCGGTGAAACAGACTCAATATCAAACTCTAATCTAACTGGCTTTTTATACAGCTCAAATAATTTTTTAAATGTTGAGAAAATTTCAGACATTATGGCCACGCTCATCACGTTAGGAGAAACGTTCAGGTAGACAAGTAAAGTTTATAGAAACGTCTGGATTAAAAATAGAGACTGGTTGATGTAAGATGTGTTGTTCTCGACTTTGTTGATGTAAGATGTATTGTTCTCCTTATTTGAAAGAAATGTGTAAGTTGCCTTCTAAGGTACTTCAGGGAGAAAAGAAAAGTATAATATTACGTAATTTATTTCAAACTAGAAGGAAAGAAATGTGTAAGTTGCCTTGTAAGGTACTTGAGGGAGAAAAGAGAAGTATAATATTACGTAACTTATTCCACACTAGAAAGAAAGAAAGAAAGAAATGTGTAAGTTGCCTTGCAAGGTATTTCAGAGAGAAAAGAAAAGTATATTATTACGTAATTTATTTCACACTAGAAGAAAATAAATGTATAAGTTGCCTTGCAAGGTACTTCAGGGACAAAAGAAAAGTATTTTATTACGTAATTTATTTCACACTATAAGGTAAGCTAAACTTCTTGATGTGAAATATGGAATTTGTGGTTTTTAGTCTTCCGTGCTTAAAAAAAGTGATGGCGTATATTTAATGTGAGGATTTTTAAAGTTCTCAAACATTTAGAAAATTTGCTTTCTCAAGAAAGAAGGACAGAGTGACGTCACGGAACACATAAGTCATCTCTGAAGAAGAAGAGAGTATACCATTAAGACAGTTCATCATCGTATCTTCAAAGTCAATATCTCAAAGCAATGGACTCGAACAACGTGTCTGACGAAAAATACAGGATATCATTAGGACAGTTCGTCTTGGTATCTTCAAGATAAATATCAAAAAGTAATTGACTAGAAAAAGTTATTCTCGATAGACTAAATATAGTATTATCGATAAGACAAAACCATTAGAAAAAAAAAATTCTAAAAGTAAATGTTTTCAACTGTTCCACGATTTATTTCTGAACGGATGAGCATTCATTGTAAAATCAACTGACTAATGGTGGAACAGAAGAAATGTTTAACCTGAGTTTAGCGCTTGGGCTGACGCTAGGGGAACGAGCAGCTGTTGATGATGAAGGCTGTTTTAAATGTCAAGGTTCACACTCACACGTACGCCTAACTTTGTTAAAAGTGTGTGTGTGTGGTGGGGGGGGGGTAAAGAAGAACTGGCGAGCGAACGAGGCGAGAAACATTTTCAGTATAATATTATTGAAAGTGAGGTCGCATACCGCTTCTGCTCCCAGTTAGGCGCCTATGCTCATTGAGTATTATCTCGAGAAACCTTGAGTCTAACAACTCTGTTTGACAGGTGAAGCTACGTCACAGCAAGATAGTCAACCATATGTTTAATCTTGCACGAGTACTTTTTACTTAAACATAGAAATAACAGCTAAAAAACACGCGCACATTATATTTTCGCAGTTTTAATATAATTTGATTTGACTCAATTGTACTATTTAATTAATCGGAACAGATTTAATACTATTAGATGAACTGTGGGAACTTTACGTAGTTAGAGAAATACTCTGGTCTCGTAATATAAAAGTGTTGGTTTTGTCTCAAACGTTATACGCCCGGATATTTATGAACGTTGCTGTAATAACAGCATTTTATGAATATTCACTAATTCGTTGGTTCCTAACGTTTTTCAACACAAGGCCACCCCAGAACGTTCCAATTCTCACTGTGTCCCCCTTTCCCTCCACCAAGTGAATCTATATATACACTGAGACCTTTAACAGTATTGTGTATTTTTGTTTATGAGCTACGTACGATCCCTCTGAAACTTTCCTGTTGTCCTCCATACGTCGGACACGACTATATGTTGCTGAAGAGTAGCTCACAGATGCTCAGTTTGGACTTAGGAAAGGAATTGGATGTCTAAATGCCATTCTTACAGTACGACAGCTGTGTGACAAAACTACTGAGTTCAACTATGGTATTTATCTATAAAGAAGAAAGAAACGCTTCCGGTCGGGTGGACTGAAAAATCTATGACTAGTGCAGGAGGATTACGATATGAAGGGACAGCTGGTCGACAATACTGAGTCGTTTACAAAGACAGTTAGAACAAAAATCGGACTTACAGAGTCGTTACAAGTAACACCAGGAGTGAGATAAGGGTCGTTACAAGTAGCATCAGGAGTGAGATAAGGGTCGTTACAAGTAATATCAGGACTGAGATAAGGGTTGTTACAAGTAACATCAGGACTGAGATAAGGGTTATTACAAGTAACATCAGGACTGAAATAAAGGTTGTTGCAAGTAACACCAGGAGTGAGGTTAGGGTCGTTACAAGTAGCATCAGGAGTGAGATAAGGATTGTTACAAGTAACATCAGAACTGAAATAAGGGTTATTACAAGTAACATCAGGACTGAAATAAAGGTTGTTGCAAGTAACACCAGGAGTGATGTTAGGGTATGTGCTGTTCTTACCACTGTTCATTATCTATATGGAGAGAATAACCAAACAAGTTTGTTCCAATCCAGAGGAAATCAATGAACTTTTCTTCACAGATGATCAGAATATTTTCCCAATTACAGAAACAGACCCCAGGACACATAAACAGACTCCAGGACACATGAACAGACTCCAGGACACAGAAACAGACTCCAGGACACATAACCAGACTAGATAAAATCCCGTGAGAAATATGAAATTAGGACCAATACAAAAGACCAACAAAACTGAAACGATTATTGTCAGCCTATCTCCTAAACATCCAAGTCAGCAATAACAGCTTTAAACAGAACAAAGAATTAAAGCACCTCGGCGGCGTCTTCACGGAGATTGGAAAGATGAATCGTGGGATAGAAATATCATGCCAGAAAACAAACAGTGTTGGTTACTGGTTGGCTCACGACTTGAGATATCCAGTTGTATCGATAGGCACTAAGCGTGAACTCATGAGCGCAATATTTATCCTAAACCTTTTGTTATCAAAGCTATAGATGGACCATGGATAAAGGAAGGGGACATAAACATCAATGCATGTGATACGAGCTGCATGTGCAGAGCAGTAAACAAAACACCAAGACGTCGGAAACGTGCACGAACAAAATCGGCCTTGGTATTCTCTCTGCCTTGGAACACTCTGGATATGCCTCTCTCATCTCTCCAACCTGAATACTTTAAAATCGCCAGAAGACAACATATGACCAACCTCTCTAACTAAAATTAAATAATTCACGAATGTATCAAATAAATTATCGCGAACGGGGCGAAGGGGGATATTAATATCTCTGAACACCCCAGTTTAAGAACGTTTCTTTCCTTTAAAAACTAAATTCCTTTCACAAAATTTTCGTTTTTTTTGGCCACAGTATGGCTCCCATTCGACCATCAGCGAGAGGGAGAAACAGAGGACGAGGGAAGCCAGAAGAGTGATGTGTGAATGGGGTTTCCGAAACCCTGCATCTAGATGATATCACCCCCTCACCACCACCACCAGGGAGACTCTCCTTCTCTCAACGAAAAGAAGATTACATCTTCTTGTGATGTAAATAGGAATGTACAGTAGACAAAACGAAAGTACAAGGAATATTGCTCTCTTTATTCCAAAGAAATACGAGGGTTCAAAAACCAATCTTAAAATAATTCACAAAAAATTGCGAATAACTCTATCGGATCACACGATAAGCTTGTATTATTTCGTTATGTTGAAGCTAGAAAGACGGATAATTTAGTCGGTTAGCATTGTGCAATTAACATTTATTTTAGTATTTAGATTTAAATGAAAACCTATGTTCACCTGACACTGATTTACAGCGTAAATGTGCATTTTTTTTCTTCTGATTACAGAACCCTGTAGCTTATAATATACTGAACCAGACGTACTTATTAACTGCAGTAGTAATAATCCAAAGTGCCTTTCATATATTATGCTACTTTAACGGATTAAAATGATTATAATGGGAAACTGTTGACTTGCACTCCCATTTTGATAGTAGTTATAACATAGATATGTCCAATTATTGAATGATAAATGAGTTTTCTTTAGTCGTAAAATTAAAGTCCAGCAGATTTCTCGATTAAATCTTATGATGATTGTATCAGTATATGATGATGAAAAACCCTAAAGTATTCTTCCAATCTTATATTTCTACTAAATCAGAAAGGCTTCCGAAAAAGATCCATATTGTGATAGAAAGCAGATAAAAGGGTAAGTTTAAAAAGTTACTCGGAAAGCATTGACGCTCACTAGTTGAAACTTATAACCATGAATAGATGAGGAAAGCGCTTTTATGAATTCATTTATTGAATATTAAATGCATCCATTTCTTGCATACATTATGGTTTATAGCTGTCATCACTCGATAATACAAAAATGGAATATGGAAGCGACAGCTGTATGTGTAATATTTATATTTGTTTTAAGCGTAAAGCTATACAATGGGCTATCTGAGCTATGCCCAGTGAGGGTATCGAACCTTGAATGTTGCGGTTATGAGATCTGGAAAGTTTTGGTTGGAAGATTGTTCTTTGTAACCATAATCTTTATTTTATGGAGTTTTGGGTTTTTCTTAAGAGCAGTGAATATTTACTTATTTCAAATGCTGTTTTTTCGGTTTTATATGGTTTAACATTCTTGCTTTATGAACATTATTTCTTTGCAAGGAATTTTCACATTAATTCATCCAGCCATAAGTTTACTCCTGGTGTTGAAAGGTCAGAAAGTAGACGTTAACTAAATAAAAGGGTACTAGATATGTCGCTCGTGGCAAACCAATGCATTAACATATGCAAATAGTTCTTAGGAAATGTAATTCACTTTTTATATGCTGTTATTTTCCTAACCCTAACGATTTACTTGTGTTATATAGATAGGAGATCAGCTGGTACGCGTCAATGGCTACACCATTGATCAAGCTGTACATGAGGAGGTCTATGCCTTGTTGCGATCACAGAAGACTCTACTTCTTCGAGTTAAAAGTAAGTCTCAGTTACTTTTCTTGATAGTGTTAGAAACTTGTCCAATCCAAGAATTTAAACATATCCTTATTACTAGTTTCTTGACTTATTTAAGCGATATTATTGGAAGTTATTCAATTTTCTCCAAGTGTTTTCGCTTCAAAAGTTATTAAATATTTCTACATAAAAAGTTTCTGCGTTGATGTGACATTTTATAAACGTAAGGTGTAATAAAATAGATGAATTCGTCATTTCCAAAAAATCTAATTTTAACATAAGTCCTTCTACCTATCCATGGATGCTAGAAACTGAGTTTCTAATGAATAAATAAATATCTTCAAAAAGTAGTCTGGATATATTATTTCTTTATTTGGGATTTATATATATATATATTTGTTTTTAGAAAAATTATGATTATTTGCAATTTGCTTGAATTTATTCATGTTATTGATTGCGTAAAATCAATACAAACAGTCCTTATTATTAGCCATGACTTTTCTGGCGTGAATATTACACTCAAAATGTGTTTCATTTCCATTAAGTTTTGACACTGCCAATTAACTTTGTTTTCTAAACAATAGTTGACTTTTTTGCTTCTTTTATTCAACTTGAATTTGTCTAGAATTTATTAGTGATCTTCAAGTATTTATTGTCGGGTGAATCATGATCTCATACACCTGTGAATATTTATTGTTGGGTGAATCATGATCTCATACACCTGTGAGTGTTTATTGTTGGATGAATCATGATCTAATATACCTGTGAGTATTTATTGTTGGGTGAATCATGATTTAATACACCTGTGAGTATTTATTGTTGGGTGAAGCATGATCTAATACACCTGCGAGTATTTATTGTTGGATGAATCATGATTTAATACACCTGTGAGTATTTATTGTTGGGTGAAGCATGATCTAATACACCTGTGAGTATTTATTGTTGGGTGAAACATGATCTAATACACATGTGAGTATTTATTGTTGGATGAATCATGATCTAATACACCTGTGAGTATTTATTGTTGGGTGAAGCATGATCTAATACACCTGTGAGTATTTATTGTTGGGTGAAACATGATCTAATACACATGTGAGTATTTATTGTTGGGTGAAGCATGATCTAATACACCTGTGAATATGTATTGTTGGGTGAATCATGATTTAATACACCTGTGAGTATTTATTGTTGGGTAAAACATGATTTAATACACCTGTGAGTATTTATTGTTGAGCGAAGCATGATCTAATACATCTGTGATTATTTATTGTTGGGCAAATCATGATCTAATACACCTGTGAGTATTTATTGTTGAGCGAAGCATGATCTAATACATCTGTGATTATTTATTGTTGGGCAAATCATGGTCTAATACACCTGTGAGTATTTATTGTTGGGTGAAGCATGATTTAATACACCTGTGAGTATTTATTGTTGGGTGAAGTATTGTTTTGAATACATTCTAAGGAAGTGAACATCACTCATTATGTTGCTGTAACACAATGTACATTTTAAAAATCACTTATTTTGTAGCTGTAACGGAAGTGAATTTTTTGTGTAATTTCTTTTGCGTTTTCCTTCTCTCTCACTCACACACAGCCGTGACTCAGCGGTAATTTTGAGAGTTTATAACGCTAAGATTCGGGGGTTCGATATCTGCAGTGTGCAAAGCGCAGATAGATCATTGTGCAGCTTCGAGCGCAAACTAAACAAACAAACAAAGAATCAGGATGCGAGTAAGAGTTTGTTTTTATTGCGATGTCATAAGCTATAATTCTATGTTTGATTATATGTATAAAAAATTCTCATGAAAATAACTAACATTTAAAAAATAAGTAAATTCGTTCGAAACAAAATGTTTCAAAAAGTGTGTGTATTAAGGAACACTTTAGACGTAGAAGTAGGCCTATAACAATGTTTTTAATACAGATAATATCTACGTGTATTGTACACGTTTTTTACTGATTCTAAACAATACGTTCTTATTTATGTAGGTGTGGGAATGATCCCAGTAAAAAAGTAAGTAAATATTATACGTTTTTTAATTATATCTCATACTGGTTACATTTTTAAGGTAATGTTTCCATTTTACCTAATGTTGTAAAAGCCTAATTAACATGAATTTTAAACTAGTTTTTTCGCCATAATAACAAGGTATGCCGTTAATGATTTTATTGAAAGTAAATACTTTGTTTTCCTCTTTTAGTGTTTAAGGAAATTTTAAAAATAACACTATCACAGGGACTTTGGAATGTGTCGTAACCTGTTTCCTGTCTTTATCTCCATCATTTCTAACCTGTTTCGTTGATTTATCTTGACTAAGCGATAAAATCTATTTCTGTTGATTCTGTCATTAAATGCATGAATTTTAACTTTATTTTCCTTTATTCAGGTGCATGATCTATTAAATATTATGATTCTCTTCTTGCATGTTACCTATCATTTTCTATTTAACCCGTGACCCGATCAGATCATCTCATACCCCACTAACCAACATGGAACCTCTTCACGCTTCAATCCGACGGTTTTCTCTTCCATCAAAACTCCAAGGAATCTGTTCTACTCCTCTTCAAGAGAAAGGCAGATTCAATGACCACCTTTCTACAAACCACCTACACCAACTGCTTCACAAGCGTTGCAGTTCTTTACCGGGGAAACAGACCGTGCAAGACCATTTCATGGCGACTTCTCTCTTTGAGATTCTGGAGCTATCAGAGCAAGAGACTGATGAAGATCAGGAGAATCCCCAAGCTGCGAAACAAGAGAGATTAAGACGAACGCAGTCTGCTCCAAATGATCAGGAGGCTTGGAGACTTTCGATTGGCAGTGAAGCCTACCTGGACAGTAATTCATCATCCATTGTTCAATCAAAAAGAAATGATTGTATTGGAATAAATGAAGTTAGCAAACTAGAGAAAGTAAACCAAGATAACGAGAATGAACAGCTTCGAGGATCGAAACTTCAAAACGCCGAACAAGCTGAGCAAATAGGAAATAAAACAGAAGCTCCGAGTTCAGTAACAGTAACTTTTGTTGTTAAGTCTGATAAAGAAAGCAGGCAAGGTTTACTTAATCTTTATACTTTCTATTCTAGAACAGAGAATACAATATCTTTTTTTTGTTTTTTCCTTCATTGCTATAGAATAGATACCTTCTATACGAGATATAATAATTTGTATAAAATTAACACATTCATAGATAGGAAACTGCTTGTTTTCAAACTCAATATTTTATCACAAAATAATTGTTTTACTTATGAGTGCAAGTCGTAACTTAAAATGTGGTTTAACTTAGGAAAAAGGTTCAAGAAAATAATAAATAACTAAACTGATTATTTTGATCACAGGATTTCAAATCCACTACTCGATGGCTTATACAGATATATAATAAGATATTGAGGTCAAACTGAACCTTACTGCTTCACGATAATCTTACGTGTTTCCTATTGTTTTCAAAATGTATTACAGTTTCTTTTTCGTCTTTTCGTGCACATTTATTTATTAATTCTTGCCAAACAGCACACGTTCTCTAATGAATAGAATTGTCATAAAATGCCTGGAGTTAATCTCCACTATAGCATGAACCTAGTTTTGTCTTACTATGCATATGTCAGTATAAGTGTCACAGAAACTATCTTGCCATTGTAGTTAAGTTTATGCCTTTTTTTAAAAAAAAATCAGTAACGACTCCATTAGGATTACTGTGCTCTGCGATACCTGACCTAATTCCTAAAGCATTCCTATGCTTATTTTTCACACTTTTTTTTTTATTTTGAGAGTTAGTTAATTTAGTAGGTTAATTAAACTTTACCTTTACCTAAATTAGTAACGAAGTAAGTCGGTACGGTAATTTACTTAACGTTCGACTA